GTGATGCTATCTAACCATCTCATCCTCTGCCGTCCTCTTCTCCTTTTGCCTTCAATCTTTCCCAGCATCAGGGTCTTCTCCAAAGAGATCTCTCTTCGCAAAGGACTCCATAGTATATATGTATGTATCTGTCTGTCTGTCAGCTTGCTGTGCATTTTTTGTGATTAAATAAATGCAAATCAATGGACTCACAGGCCAAATTAAGAGATCTGTTTTGCATCCTGGACAGAAGCAGGTGTGGGTATATCCTTGCTAAGTGTGCAACTTCCAGCCAATGGGGAACAGATAGAGTTGACCGCTGGCTTCAAGGACATCCATTCTCTACAAGGTCATCCTGAGATTTTGGACTCTTCTTCTCAAACCTCCCCAGAGGGGGAGGCCAACTGCAGAAAACCTCCCATCCAGTATGAAAAACAGAGTTCACCAAATATGTAAACATTACGGCTGTGCGGTGCTTCAAATTCAAAGGCCAAAAGGTGCTTCCGAGTGCTTGGGGGTATGAAGAAAACACTTGTCCGCAATTCCATAAACTGAATGTATCTTTCTTCGGGATTATGTAGCAGTTGCAGAGGGTGGCTGCCTTGCAAAGCTGCAGACAGATGCTGGGTGAGCCTCCCCCGCACCTCCACCCCCTGTGCTCCAAAGCAGCTTTCTACCTTTGAATCCCAAGTGCTACACAGCCCTATTAAGCTCGTCTCAAGAGACTAACAAAAATCTTACAAGGTTCTATTTACTGAAGAAGAACAGGTCTAGTGGAAACCAGCCAACCAACCGAGTGCCCACAGCTTTCCACATGATGTCCTATGCTTATTTTCCCGGTCCATTAATGGCTAAGTACATGGTCAACAGCAATTTAAAATGCTAGCACTACACATTATCTTTAGAGCAAGCAAACAGCAAAATTGCATTTGTGGCTTTAGGATTCAACTGCAAAGCATTCACGCACGAGGACAAAGCTGGAAGTTGGGCTCAGACAGGAGGGTCGACGGGAAAACTTTGGTTGGAAAAGGACAAAGCTTGATAGGAAGCATTGCACACAAACAAACTTCCAGGGAACCTGGATGAATCTGGCCTAAGTCCATTGTGTTAATTTGCTCTGTGCACTGTTTAAATGTAGGTTGTTTATCTACGTTACAAAGACAAGATGGGTTTGGAGCCTCTATTAACCAGTGGAGGGAATGAACTAGGTGCCATTGGACATCCATCTCTCCTGTAGTCCATAGTTACCAGAAGCCAAGAGAAAATTCTGGGATGGGCCATGGATTTGGCATACGCCTGGAACCAATATCCAATAAGATTCAGCAGTATTGGACTGGGTGCCCAAACAGGCCAGCCAGACCCAAGAATTCTGGCTTGGAGGAACAGCAATTCCCTCCCTAAGTTGGCTTCAGTTCACTTTGGGCTGCAATTTCAAGAACGAAAAAAGGTACAACTTCCTTCAATATACCAGAGCTGACTCTCATCACGGTTTCTCTTGGTTCAAACATAACACCCAATGTGGTTAGTTCAACCATTATAGCTGTCCTCACAGCTGCTTAGAAGGTTGGGCAGGGAGGTCAAAAAAGTCATATGCAACCATGTGACTGACGCCCATGATGACTGAAGCCCATGAACCATCCAGAGTTGCTCTTGAGTGAATGGGCGGTGACTAAATTTGAAATATAAATCGATCAATCAATATAAAATAAATGATGCACATAAAAAAAGAGGGCTTTGACTCCACAGCTACAGGTGACATCTTGACTTTTTTGCCCTCCCAGTGGATGCCCCTGTTGATAGAGAAGGAAAGCAGCAGTAAGTTCAGACTCATCTAAACTGATCCTTGTAGTGATGAGCCATTGTTTACTGAGATACCTGAACGCTATCACGACTTTCTAATTAAATGACCCTGATAAATGAGGATTAAACAGATCTGTCTAGCACGCAAATGGCTTTATTACAAATGCCTTGGTAAAGTAAATGCCTATATACCGCTTGGACTTTTTCTATATATCTAGCAAACATTTTGTTCTGGGGACAGAACATTCTGGGGCAATCTTCCTCCAGTCCAGCCATTCAAAGTACTGCAAACCATTTCCTGTTCTAGAAGACTGAAATCCAAACACTGCCAGATCAACCCCCCAGATGGAACCTTTGCAGTTGCCCAGAAGAGAATGTTTTGCAAGGGCTGGGCTTCAGTGGTGTAGATGCAGCCATCATCTTGACTTTTTTGACTGCCCTTTCCCCTGGGGATACCCCTGATGTTTTGCACATCCAAGATTGTCCCATCCTCTTGTTTCAGGTAAACCGTACATTTGCAAAACATGACTTTATTCTAATGTTCCACTGGAGCCACAAGTATCAATTTAAGAACATTCATCGCTTCTGACAGATCTCATCAAAATGATGTAACCGTTGAGAGAGAGAAAGCTTGGCACACTCCAGTCTAATTGAGCATAGAAAGCACTAGTTTGAAAAACAAATGTTTCTAAAAGGTCAAAGAGGAAAAGAAAGAAAAGGAAATCCATTGGTGCTGTATTTCTAAGCAGACATGTTAGGCCTGGATAAACCTCATACACAGAGCTCTTTGTGAATAACAAAAAGACTGTTTCAAATATGGCACTGTTTATCAAAGGACAAAGTGGATTAAACTACTGCCATGACGGGAGAAGAGGATAATCCAACTTCATCCATTTTGCTCATAAAGATTGGAAATTTGAGGAACAATTGTAGAATGACCTATTGCTTAGCAGTGCAGAACATGCGTTGACTGGGGTTCCAAGTTAAATCCAGGTTTAAAAAAAGTCTCAGCTTGGAGGACAGGCTGTAAAACATTGCATTGACAGAAGAAAAAACCCAGGATGAAATAGATCAAAGGAAAGGTTCAGTTCCATCTAAACTGAAAGTTCTCTACAGAAATGTGTCTTTGCTTATTTTGCTACTGGGGAAAAAAATTAGAAAGTAAAGCCACTTGCAAAACACCCCCCCCCCGAAATAATTATTCTCAGATGTCAACAGAATGATTGGGGAAGGAGGTCTATGGGCATATATAAAATAAGTCCTGGTGGCCCACCACTCCAGTACTTTGTAATTGCCCCCAAAGAACCCTAATTGTATCCTTAATGGGATCCACCTGCAACTAATCCAGATTAATCCTAATGGCATTTGCTGACTGAAATGACCTCTACTTAATCCAGTTTTTTACTTCCCCCAAATGGACAATCAGATGCTTCTAAACCACAAGAGGACTTCTTGGACAACAAGCTTCTCCTCTAGTTTGTCTGCAATGACCAATATACTTCCATACTGCCACCATTTCTATCCCCCTGGCCTTCCAAAGCATCTTGAAAGCCAGCCCATAATCACCTTCACCTTCCCTCTCCTTAACTCTGAGAAGCAGCTGAACTTCTAGGAAAGAAAAAGAAAAAAAGCTAGGAGTGAGGCAAGACCAGCCATGGCTTTGACAGCCCTTTAACTAGAAAGCTTTGCTGAAATTTCAAATATCCTGCAGCTGAGCCAGTAATTAACTCAGTTCCTGGACACAGCTGATGTCATGTGATCTAATAGACCGCAAGCTAATTTTGAACTGGTGGATAGATCTCAGGTGGTGGCCAGAGATACTATTCCTTCATCTCCTACAGTAGTGTTTCTCAACCTTGGCCATTTTAAGATGTGTGGACGACAATGCCCAGAATTCCCCAGCCAGCATGCTGCCTGGGGAATTCTGGGCATTGAAGTCCACACATCTTAAAATGGCCAAGGTTGAGAAACATTGTCCTACAGTGTTGCCCTTTGACCAGTGCCCATTAACCAACAGACTCCATTCAAGCCGAGAAGATGAGGATTGCCCAGTTCCACGTGTAATAAAAGAAAGTCAGTTGATTGAATAGCTCCAAATAAACTTCTGTAATTCAGAAGAAGGGCCCATTTTTAACTTCATTCCATGTTGCCTTTTTTGTACCTGCTCAATTATCCCTCCAGAGGCTGAATTCTCATGAGGAAGGGACTCATGATTTATTAAACAGTGTTTGTTTAAACATGCTAGACTTCTGGGCTTAGATTCTTGGCTGGACCTTCCCCACCACTATTGTGTTTCTGGCTCACTGACCTTTGGTGGACTAGCTGTGAGACTCAGCCAAAATCACTCTGCAGAACACACACACACCCAAAATTCAATACACAACAATTCTCTGAGAGGGCATCTATGGAGGAACGAGTGTGTTACAAATGTCAGGAATAATACACATCAAAGACAAAAGGGTCATGACAAGAAAAACATCTGACAAAATTAAAAAGAGAAACCACAGAGGACTGAAGAGGCGAGCATGAGCAACAGCATAGAAGCATGCATGTATATGTTTTAATTTTAAATGCTGTCACATGTGGGCTTTATAAAGCATTAGCCATCATCTTGCAAAGCAGAAAAGCATTACATGCACCAAGCAGATGACCGTAAAATGAGCTATGCAGCAAAAACACGGTAGCTCTCCAAGCATCGCTGAGAGATGTGAAAAAGAAAACCCGGTGCATTTTACAGTCTCAACATGGTGTATATAAGTTCTGGCCGCTGCGTGTGAGAGAAAGGCATCGATCAGCAATATCCATCTGCGACTATAGTTGGGTGGAGGATGTCACTGAATGGTATAATAGAAAGAAAACTTTGGAGAGCAATTGAGACACGTCTTTGAGAAACATATATGCACCATGGTTATCAGCCAACAAACCATAAAATGCAAAAAGGTGATGGGTGCGTGATAGGTAGAAGAAAGAAGTTAAAACCAACCTTGGAGAAATATCACATCCTTGCTGCATAAAGGCACCCAGGGAAAACCAAAGGCTGTTAAATATTCCAAATTCATTGGGAGGGTCAGGAGGGTTTTGAGGGTCCCGCGGCTCTTCCTGGTTGTCTTCCAAATGCCACTCGTAAGGACTGAATCGGCTGACTAGAAAGAGAACTACGCTGACGCCAATGTAAGCAAAGACTATACACATCCAAATTTCATAGGCCAAAGGATCCAGAAAGGAGAAGACCCCCGGTTTAGATTTCTGGGGCTTCTTGATCATGATAGAAATGCCCAGGCTCATAAAGGGTTTGGAAAAATCTATGACTTCTTCTCGGACCAGTGTTATAGTCAGTGGGGCAACAGCTATATCTGCTCTCTGGAAAGACAGAACACACACAGATACAAAAAAAAAAAAAGAAGAAGAAGAAGAGGAAGAGGAAGAAGAAGAGAAAATTACAGTAAGACATCTTTATTAAAACAACAATAGTCCTCATTTCTCTGCATCTCTGACATGAAATCCTTAGCTCTTAGCACGTTCTACCTCATGGGAACGTTGCTCTTGTTGGTTGGCCATCTGCAAGCTCCTTATGCTTTCTCTTTCTGGAGAAGACCCAAATACCCTACATGTCTCTGACAGATTGGCAGGCAGCACTTTTCACTCTTGTGATAGACTGGCCAGACCAAGAATCTAAGAAGCAGTAGAAGAGGGTGACCATGTTCCTGCCTCTGCTTATGTGCTTCCCAAACATGGCTGGGTTGGTCATCTTTTTTGGGGGGGCAAAGAATTCTGGAGGGGTGGAGTCCTCAGCTTCATCCAGCACAGCTCTCCTTGTGTTCTCATCTTGAGCCCGCTGCAGCAAAATGGGGTGGGGGAGACCCTTCCCTGCAAATCACCTGTGGCTGAAGATAAGCAGTTTTAGGAAGCAGGAGCAGCCACGGAGGCTGCATAACATCGGAGAGATGCGTAACTGAGAAAGCCAGTTGCACCAGTTCCCTTTGCCATACTGTGGCAATACATTTATTTTATTTATTTATTAAATGTATATAGCCACCCATCTCACGCTTGTGACGCTGGGCGGTGCACGCAAATAAAAAATGCAATGCCAAACGATTAACATAATTGAAACAAAACCATAGATATCCAAAATACCTCCCAGAGAAAATCTAGGGAAATTCTAATGCTGGCTGTGAGTGAAGTAGAAATGGAGGAGTAGAAAAGGGTCCGAGTATTAATAATATGGATTCAATTCATCTAGGTACTGGTCATATGGCTTGCCCATAGCTTGTTTTATGGGACTGTCAAATCTATGACAGGCAAGATGAAACCATGGACTGTCTGGATACATCAGAAGTTTTACCCAGCATCAAATTCCAAAACACACACAACCTTTTCCCAAGAGTTCTTTTTCTTCCAACAGCAGACAAGAGAATCCATATGGCACAGGAATCTGCACCTGAAAGAAGGTGAGATTGTAGGTATTCAACCTGCTAATGCCCAAACCTATTCCACTTGGCTGTTCTTGGGTGGACTGGTTCCACCAGAAGCCAAGTTTCTTCAGATCTGTCACCCCATATCTGCTAATGCAACCGGTGTCAATCGTTTTTCCACACAATGCATATCAGGGGGAGAGTGTTGGGAGAAACACCCTGATTGTTGCTTTTGACTTTTGTGATAAATTTCTAAGTTCCAGAGAGGAAGCAAAAGCACATTGCAAATGAATAGTATATTAGTCTGATCAAAAGTTTTAATCTTCAAAATGTGTTATGGACTTATTATTAAGCCATCTCCTTCCTTCTTCCCAGTGAATTGCCATATGGATTCTCTTGTCTGCTGCTAGAAGAAAAATAACTCTTCGGGAAAGGTTGTGTGTGTTTTGGAATTTGATGCTGGGTAAAACTTCTCATGTATCCAGCTTCCATTTAAGCTCAGAAAACAACATTACTAGTCCCAATGGCACAGAAGGTAAGAGATGAACATATGTGAGGAAGGAATAGAAGAAGGGATGTTTTGATGGCTGGCCACCAAATATTAGCTTGAGGATCCACCCCCCGCTTCTCTTTCCCTTTCAAGGGCCAGGAAGAAGAATGCATTGTGCAAAATATGCCAAAATTACAGGTAGTCCTCACTGACTGATTGCCTTGCTTAGCAACCATTCAAAGTTACTATGGTGTAAAAAAACACAACTTTACAACCAATCCTCACATTTATGACCATTGCAGCATCCTGCGGACACGTGATCGCCATTTGCATGCTTCCCAGCCAGCTTCTGACAAGCAGAGTTAATGAAGAACGTGGATGTGATGTCTCGCTTAATTGAATGGGAAGCGATGTAAGTCCATCGTGATCACATAATTCTCCGCTTAGCGACCAGGCGCTTAGCGACAGAGTTGCTGGTCCGTATTAGGGTTGCTAAAGCAAGGACTACCTGTATAGTTATTTGTGCATGTGCCTTCGAGTCAATGTTTGACTCCTGGAGACTGCCTGGACAAGTCCCTGCAGTTTTCTTGGCAAGACTTTCAGAAGTGGCTTGCCTTTGCCTGCTTCCCAGGGCTGAGAGAGAGTGACTCACCCAAGGTCACCCGGTTGGCTTTCTACCTAAGGTGGGACTAAAATTCATGGTCTCCCTGTTTCTAGCTTGATGCCTTAACCACTACACCAAACTGGCTCACTCATATAGCTATTTACAATAACTTTATTGTAAATGAAGAGTCATCTTCCCTAATTTGCAAGAAACCTGGGGCAAGGAATTTGTTAAACTCTCTTTCTTTCTCCTTGTCAAGGCAGACCCCTGACTAATGAGAATGCTCCTGATTTGGGGGTAGAAGGAGCCTTTCAGACAGTGAAATGGAGACAATTAATGTTCTTCATCTGAGTAAATACACCCTCCAATCAAACTTGACTCCTTGCAACTGCCTCCAGGCGGTTTTCTTGACCGTGTTACCAAAGTGATTCACCACTGCCTTCTTCTGAAAAGCTTTTTGACTTCCCAGTCTAGCTTACAGCCCTGGAATCCTGGGGTGGTCTCCATGCAAGTACTAAAAGGACCAACCTTGCTTAGCTTCTGAAAGAAGTTATTCAACCTGCTACTGCCCAAAGCTCTTAAGGACCAACTAAATTACACCTTTGGCAACAGAAGCTGGGTCACCACATGGCAGCAACAGAAAGAGGGAACAATCTGCCCCAGAGGAGCAACAGGAGGTTGGATGGAAGAGAAGCTACATCCAAATTACAGGAAGAATTATATGAGGGGAGGCAGGGCTTTTTCAAGACTCTGAAGCTAGGGACAAAATGGCCATTTGAATTTTCTGTCCACACTTCCAACCTCTGCTAGTGTTATATGGTTTTCCTCTCTTGTTTTTTATCTTGTGATGTCAATGGCCCAATAAATGAGAGTATATGGTAAAGTCTTGGGATGGTAGTTGAGTGGATTATTTTACTGTCTTGAATTAAAAGCATCCCGCATCCATTTGATGACTCTATAACCCAGACTGTACTAAGCATACGATCCTCTCTATCAGAAGACTCTGGGGCAACAGCCCTTTTTGATGCCCCAGCTCCCAAAAACTTTGCAGGACTCTTACTGCCAAACCCTTTTGCAGGTTTCCACCAGAGGTGATCCGTTGTGGCTCACTTCTAGCTTTCCACTAGAACAGCTGAGCAGTCTTAAAAATAGTAGCAAAGGCTGACGCTAGAACTATCTGTGGTTTTGCCATTTGGGCTTCATGATTTCCTGTTCTGGAAATCCTACCTGCCCCACTTGAACTTTACAAACCGTGAGTCTCCCTGTTTTATGCTCTTCGTTTTTAAGCAAATGGCAGTGAACAAGCAAACATCTTGCATTTGTTTTCTCCTCTCCTTGGCCGTTCCCCAGTTCAAAAATCCTACAAAAAAATCTTTAGCTTAGACAAAAGCATCAGCTTTTCTGCTCAGTTCAGCAAAGCTTGGCAGGGCCCCTTGCCAGGCAATTTTGTTGTCCCCATAGAGAGAAGTTGAGGAGTGCAATCATGCTTGGGCTCCAAGTAAGGCATTCAAACAACAGCCTTCTGAGTTGGACTAATCCCAAAAGAAGTCACAAGAGTTTGGACCTGGGCCAAATCACTCTATGAAACTTTGGCACTTGCAGAAAAGTATCGTTAGCTCTAAACTCTTCTCCATTCACAAGATATATCTGCTGCAGATCAAAATATCTTCATTGTAGATGATATTACTACTTGGATCATAAGAATAGCATGTGCTTAGAAATATTCCAAGGAAGATGAAAAGGGAGCAGTACCAACAGGCAACTCAAGCTCTCAGATTCCAGGTTGAGACTTATATCTAACCACATCTAATCTTTGAATGACATGCTCTGAAAAATAAGTGGAGCTGGGAAAAAGACCTGAGTGGGGTCAGAATAGAAGCCAAATTTAATTTAATTTGAAGTATTTCATTAAAAACTGTTAGCTGTAATTCCTTACCCGTGTATTTAATAATGTTCTCATATGTCACATTAGGAATTATAATCTGGTGGCAATTTGGGGAATAGCCCCCGGGAGCCACATGCCAAGCTCCCAGGAGGCACCTCAGGTTCTACACATCTTTGTGTTGCTATTACCTTTCCTGAATGGGCAAAGAGAGTAAATGGCAGGGACGCCCACTGGAGCTGAATGTCCATTAAAAACAAATTGATATAATACAAGTCATTCCCATCAGCTGAACTCATTTGCGTCAAGTTATTTCATTTGCATAATTGCCATCAATCTTCTGGACTGCTTCAGATACAACAGACTTTGTTTGTTATGGAGGGGTGAAGTCTGAACAAAACTTCTGTCCATTATATCTGAAGTTCACTGAATGGTGGAGGGCATAAAATCAAGGTCTCATCGTAGAGACCAAAGCAAGCCACGTCTCCCCTTATCTTGTGTTCCTATAGGCAACTGAACCTGGAGGGAGAGATTGAGTGAAGGGGGATGAGCAGATTCAGTTCAAGAGCTGGGATATTGCTTGTTTATGCTCCTATGATGGGAAAAAAAGGTTACCTAACACATATAAGTGACTAGCCCCCCCCCTTTTTTTTTGGTGCCTTCCAGTCAGTGTTGACTCCTGGCCACTGCCTGGTTTAGTCCTGGCAAGTTTTCAGAAGTGGTTTGCCCTTGCCTCCTTCCTAGAGCTGAGAGAGAGGGCTCTGTGCTCGCGGTCTCCTGGTTTCTAGCCTGATGTCTTAACCATTACACCAAACTGGCTCTGTTAGATGGGAAATACCAGGTGCCTTTCTCAGTTAAATCTGAAAGCAGTAAACTCCTTTGACAGGTGCAGTCATGTAGCTTTTATTCTATTTTATGCCTTCAAGTCAGTCTTGACTCCTGACAACTGCCTGGACTAGTCCCTGCAGCTTT